AAAGCCCTTTGACTCGCCGATCAACCCTCTCAAGTTGGAAGCCGAGATCGTCTATTTTGCGATCCAAATCCTCTAGATGACCATCTCGTCGATCGTTGTCGTTGTTTCGTCTAGGCGACATCGTTAATTGATCTGGTCTACTGATACCAACTGATGCAGATTAAAGCTACGATGGGAACAAAACAAACTCAAAGGAACATATAATTTCTTAATCGTTCAAAAAACTACTGTACAATGAAAGAGTCCTCCATATTTATAATCTCCTAACCCTACCAAATAAGAAATAATACTTCTACTAATAATAATAATAATAGTAATAAGTTCCCTTATTAAATAAAAATAGTAGATAAATAAATAACAACAGCAATAGTGAAACGTCTAAGCCCGACGTCGATCGTATTTCTCCAAGTAAGTCAGGGAAATCTTGTCACCATCATGATGATGTTAATGTAACTAAATATGATGTCAATGTGGGATTAGCTGGAGAGAAACAGGATGGGCAAAGGGTGAATCAAAATCAACACACAACTAAGCCCACAAATTCCGCCCACAATGTGTTTGACAAAATGACATAAAAGAATCTCGACTCATGAAAGAGGTCATTCTCGGCTCTCTTTGTCGACAACCGCAAAGCCTCTCAAGCGCTCAAACTAAACTACATTCTACCGGATAATGGAGTGGACCTAGATGATGATGACTTCTTGGACGTTACGAGCACGTGGGACTTTTGCCTTGTCGGGTACTTCACCTAAAAGAACCCGGGCAAGGAAGCATTGTTGAAGCTATGTAACTCATGGGAAGTCCAATATGAATACATCCCCAATGTGAATGGATGGATCGTCTTCAAGTTCAAAAACGAAGAGGATAGAGAGAAGGTCCTCCAAGGGGGGCCCTACTCTATCTACGGCAGAAGGCTCATACTCAAAGTGCTCCCCAACGAGGATGACATCAAAACCGTCCCTGTTTGGATCAACCTCCCCTTCCTCTCATGGGAATGTTGGAGCACAAATGCCCTTAGCAAGATAGCCTCCTCCGTCGGTAGACCCATCACAACCGACAAGCTCACGGCTACGAGGGACCGATGCAACTATGCTTAGATTTTGGTGGAGCTCGACCTCTCCAAGGAAAGAGTTTATAGCATTCCCGTCAAATCCAAGGGGAAACTAATGTTCGAGCAAAAGGTAGAACATGAGTACGTCCCACACTATTGCAATCAATTGCAAATTTATCGGACACTCTACCTCCAATTGTGGGAAATACAAAGCCCACCTCCAGGAAAAGGCCAAAGGCAAGAAACCGGTCCGACAAGGCGAGACAATGGGGACTACCAAGAAACTGGTACAACACCAAACAAAACAAAAAGAGCAACTCAACAATAAGGGGGGACACCAATAAAGGGCAAAGAGAGAACCATGAACCCAAGAAGATAGGAATTGTGGAGAAACAACAAAAGAAAAGAGATGAATTGAAAGATGGAAATGGGGATAGTGAAAAGAGAAAAGAGGCGGTGGCCATTACATCGGATGCCGGTTCTTCCTCTTCTCCACCCGGGGACTCGGAACCCTAAAATTTTGAGACCCCTCCTCCGGACGATGATGATTCCTTCCAAGTGGTAGGAAAATACAACAAGATTCTCACCCGAAGTGGAGCCTCGAGCCTAGCCACCGTAACTCCTAGTCAACACTCCAAACTAAGAGACAAAACAAGTGGGAGGAGAGACACGGTGAAGGGAAATCCAGTGAAGAAGAGGGGCCACCCTACCTCTTCCCAATGATTATCGCCTCATGGAACATTAGGGGCTTTAACAGGCCCCTAAAACAAGATGAGGTGGTAAACCTCATCCGGAGAAACTCTGGGACTTTTGGAAGCGAAAACCGACACTAGACGACTTTCTCTCTTTATGAATAGAAGGTTGTCGGGTTGGGCTTTTTGTGAAAATTTTGATGTTATTAACCGAGGGCGCATCGCCATCTTATGGAACCCCATGAAGGTGGACATTACTATGGATACCGCCTTTCCTCAAGTCATATTTGCAAAGATCCATTGTAAGGTTAACAACCACTCATTTATTGCTAGCTTTATTTATGGACTTCACTCGAGAGGAGACCGAAAATTGTTGTGGAATGACCTTATGTGCTATCGAGGGAGGATCTCCCTACCTTGGTTGCTCCTCGGGGACTTCAATGCCGTCCTCAAACCAGAGGAGAGAATTAAGGGTGAGAGGGTCACTAATAGGGACACCATGGACCTCTTGAAAGTTTGTGGCGACTTGGAATTGTTGGACATCCCCTCTAGCGGTTTCTTCCACACGTGGACCAACAATCATGTTTGGTCGAAGTTAGATAGGGCAATGGTGGATACTCAATGGGAGAATGCCGATCTATTCTCACATGCGACCATCCTCGCTCCGGGTATTTCGGACCACTCTCTGTGCATAGTTACTATATTTGAGGTGAGGAACACCACCGGGTCACCATGGCGGTTCGTTAACATGTGGACGGCCCACGAGAAGTTCTTGTCGAATGTTGAACGCAATTGGAATCATGGTGGCGGGGGCTCGAGGCAATTCCGTCTTGCGGCTAATTTGAAGAATCTTAAGAGCTCGCTTAAGGCTCTTAACGAGGAGGCCTTCTCACATATCTCCTCCCGGGCCAAAGAAGCGAAGAATGCCCTAAAGATTGCGCTGTTAGAGGTATGCTGTAAAAGCGATGTTTTGCAGTTTCTATCAATTCCATTTTGATATGGCCATCATGTTTCGGTCAAAGTACATATGTTTGCATTTTATTTATTTATGCAATACATACTCCATGTCTTATATTGAGGTAGTGTGGTTCGAAGAGTTTCGAACAGAAAGATCACCTATCGGTTCCTTATAAGACTAAACTATTCGTTCACAGTCTAGACTGGCAGTGAGACCCCACTTGGAAAAAGATTGTAGTGTATTCTTGATTCAGTTGGTCTTTGACTGAAGTATTACACTAGCACTTATGTTAAGTGTTGAACAGGACCATGGATTGATGCGTTCTCTTAAGTTGTAAGATAATATAAAATAGCATATATTTTTATTTCTTATTTATTTGATTTACCAAGTGATTCCTATTTTAATAGGATGACATACGACGTATTTTGGTAAGTAAGAATAATTATATGATGTGGTATTATAAATTATTTGCGGTCACTATGTTCCAGTGCGCTGGATTGATGACGTCCCCGAAATGAGCTCAGGAAGGAACATTATGTTAAACCCTGCAGGTAGACGATTGTCTGACATAATGGTTTAAGTCTGAGTACTACTAATTTCGGAAATGAATAAGAAGTTGATTAATTATTTTGTCAGTAATTTAATTAATCAACGGACGTTATATCTTAAACATAGGGAGGTAAATCGATCAATCAGATTAATATTATTTAATTATGGAGGCTCGATTTTATTGGTAAAATAGTGGCTAAATGGGGAGAGCAATAATATTACTCTAGTGGGATGTTTTATTATTTAATTTATTAAATAGGAATTAATTTTATTTCATATTAATTAATTAATTAGAAAAATAAAATTCCTACTAGAATCTTCTCTTGGGATTAGGAGACTTGGGAGTCTTCTAGAAGATGGAGATTAGTAGGAAATATATTTCCTACATTATATTATTAATTGGAGTAAAATTAGGCTTGCTAAATTAGGAATTAATTCTATTCCATGACTATTATTTTAATTAGGAAAGATATTCCTACAAGAATCTAGTGTTAGGAGACTTAGGAGTCTTCTAGAAGGAGGAGATTAGTAGGAGATTTCCTTCCTACATTAAATTAGTATTGGAGTAGAATTAGGATTCCTAGGCCTAATGGAATAAACTCATATTTAGCGCCTCCTTAAGGTCCCTAATGGAGCATATAAATACACCATGTCCCAATCTCTCCTATAAGTTGATGTTGGCCGTATTTTCTCTTCGACATACACGAGAGAATAACTTTGTTCGAGAGTTAGGGAGATTCGATTAAACGCTCCACCAAGTTTAATCGAAGTAGGTGTTTAGGTAATCCGTTAGAATGCTTTTGGGTACAATTTATTCGAGCCTTTATATTTATATTTTTCGGTCATCATCATCATCTTGTCGCCGCCGTCCGCCGCCGTGAGTGATCGCCAGAAATCGCCTATCGCCGCCGGAAGTCAGCCGAGCCCAGCCAATCGCCACCGCAAGCCGTTGCTCGCAATCGCGCCCAGCCAGGCCCATCGCCGAACTCCCAGCACAACCGCAAGCGACGCCCGCGAGTTCCCAGCGACGCCCCACGCCATCGCGAGTCGCGCCCAGCGTCCCAGTCGTGTTCTCTGTTCGTGTTCGCTCCCAGTTGACGTCCGCGTGAGGTCCCAATGCGCGCCAGTCCACGCGCGCATAATCAAGGGATAATCGGTGGATTTGATACTCAAAGTGGTGCCAGGCGCTAAGCTTCGTGAGAATCTTAGTGAGAGATGGTCCTTCTCTCTAACCTGACGTATTTTTTGGCCGTTTGGTTTTGTTGAGCGGCTAGATTTTCACAAGGCCAGATATTTATTCACCGCATTGAAACCCACCCTTGTTGTAGCTTTTGGATGCCTATAAAATAGCCCAAATATCCCCAAACGTATACCATAATTCCTCAATGACAATCATGTCATCACACCAAGTTACCAGAAATATTATCTCTTCGATTAGATCAAACAAAACATTTAAGAGGCAGCAAATTGCAAGTATTCACATTACTAACAAGTAGTAATCAGGCTGGACATCTACATACATCCACCTTTGAGTTCAAACAAACATCACAAAAGATAATAAATCACGAAGTTGCGAACACATTTTATCAGGAGTTCCACGTGACGAACATCCAATTTTCACCCATTATCCCCAAACCGATATCATAATGGTTTCACTAGAATAACGAGAAATGACAGATTCATGCAAACTTATGTACAATGGCAATGCTATATGGAGGTCAACTTCACCATTGTCAGGCTTCTTCCCTCTCTAACCTCGGAGTGAAGCTCTAGGGACAGCTGGTAAACCTAGTTCATCCTCATCCTGACAAATGTAAGAGTCTGATATTAGACACAGTCGGCCTAAACAAGTCGTACTCAAGTAAAGTACACAAGTAAACTTAAATGAATTAATATAAAGGAAACAGTATTTATTTCAAAGTTGCAAAACAAGCAGTGATATTAGAATGGTTGGGGTGAGCTGAATGATGTATATAACACTTCCAGACGATTCTAAGCAAACAAGAGAGTTGCCCTCCCTTGTAACTTTTAGTACTAGTACAATACAACACCCGTGTATTACACGGGTGCTAATAAAAAATCTACTCCTACTTTAATTATAAAAAAACAGAAGTTTAGGTTTCTAAGTTATAAACAATTCTTCATAAATTACATTATTATTTATATTTAAAAAGTCTTGTCCACCATTTTGTTTCAATACAAGTTGTTGCATCTGTTCGAAGGAAATCAGATGACAATACAAAGAATCGGTAAACTGAAAATATCTTTTCACCTCAAAAGTGTTAAAGAGCAATAAAACCTCTAACAAAAGGTAGAGAAGTCAAATTTATCTGATCTTGTTATCCATCTCCCATAGTGTTTTGACCATTCTCCAACTAGTTGTAGGAAATATATTCTATTAGAGGATATAATCCTTGTGCACCTAAATTAGTTTATTTGTTTTCCTTAGTTGCTTCCCTAGATTAGTTGTGATTATTGGCATGATTATAGTTTTCTAGTAATCTTGATTTGTAAGTCGTAATTAGTTCCTTGTAATCCTATACTTAAGCAATAGAATATCACAAGAAAAGCTGTCAATTCAACAGCACCAAAAGTCGTGTTCACTTGTGTTTGAGTGAGTTTCTATTGTCTCTTTGTGTTTTGGCCATGATCTCGGTTGCCTGTGTTGTCTCTCCGGCGAGGTTCTAACATTCATATGCAGTATCATATGATGGTATAATTTTAATCAGTTATTTTGTCTTGCTATCACATGTTTCGAAAATCGAGGCCTATATACTTCGCGGTAAACCTATCACAACCAAAAAAAATAACATGCTCCCATAATCCAACTAAGAAATAAATGCCCAAAAAGATTGGACATGGTCTATTATTTCTTCTGAATTGTCATAAAATGATCATTCAAGTAAATAATGGAAACAATACATCAACTCAAATTAAAGCCTCCAGAAATACGGAAAGAAAATCAAAAGTTACCGACTACAAAGTACTGATGCATACCTGCGCATTTGCTCGACCTGCTGGAATTTGAGCACGACCAGTTGGTGCGGATGGCAAGTTAAGCTCTCCATCCAGATCAGGCTCCTTATCAGGTTGAAGATAAGAAGGTACTCCATCAGCCTCTGTTTCAAACCCCATATCTGCTTCCAAAGCATCAAGCTCTGCGTAATAGAATAAACTTCATGAGAAGTATACAAAACCATTATACAGTGACTAAAAAGCGTGCAGAGCGCAGAGGCGACAAGCCTCCTATTTCCATTGCCATGGTGTGAGGTGTGAGGTGTGAGGCTAGGCACTCGTCTCATTGAACCGATGTGAGCAAATATATGTGAACAATTCACAAACTAAATCATGTAGCGAATTAACATGCAACAAATGATACACGTTAGAAATCTAACATCTATATAAATGAATAATGGAACTAGTAATAGAAAACAGAGTGGTAAGCAAAATAATATTGGACAAACTAAATCCAAACCTATGTTTATGTTAAAACTTGGAGCAATCAATTCTAGCATAAACTAAACCACCAGCAGCACCAGCACAAAACAAGGAAAAAAAAAAGCAGCGCTGAAGGCAGAAAAGGCAAAAGCAAAAAAAAAAAAAAAAAAAAAAAAAAAAAAAAAAAAAAAAAAAATCAAGGGTAACGGCAGCAGTGCTGGTCACCTGCACCGGAGACATCAATAACAGGGGGCACCCTCCTCACTCAACTATTCGAAAAAGAAAACAGAGGAAAATACAAAACCAAAAAAAAAAAGGAAAGAGAAAATCAGGTATCATTCTCCGCCATTTCCAGTCACCAGGGAACCGCCGACATCCAGTTGCATAGGCACAAAATCAATTCAGGGTTTTGTTGGAGACTTGGTGTAATTTAAAAATACAAAATAGGCCCCGTAACCTAACACCTCTGTTTTATGTGGCGCGCCTCGCCTCACCACGCCACACCTCATGCCATGGCGACACCTTTTCAATCATGACAAGACAACAACTTGTCATCTGAAACAAATTGTAACATCATGATGAAGATAATGATTATTATGTAGATATTAATTATACTTTTAGATTCTTTATCCTAGTTTCTCACCTACTAAGGATCTTTTAAATATTTTAAATATCTTAGAAGAAAGATTGTGTGGGTTTGTTCTTCGAAACCCTAATATTAAAGGGTTCTTTCGAATTTTTAGAGTAGCTGACATCAAAATAAAATGAAAAAACAAAAGTATCCCAATGTTGTCTCTTAAAGTATTTATCCAGAATCAACATATGAGGTGAGGTTTTAATCTTTGTTCGTGCTTCTAGCTATCCAGAGAGCACGCTGCTTAGACCGAATAAACTACATGAATCATAACCACTCATCCATCTATAGAACAGGCTTGATAAATAATAATAATAATAATAATAATAATAATAATAATAATAATAATAATAATAATAATAATAATAATAATAATAACAACAGCACTTAAATCTCAAGCAACAGCTTGGGTCATCGGGTGAACTACGCCATCAAAACCATGGTCAGAACAAGCTCCATGGAAAGCTTCTATTAGTCCCCACTGCCCACACATTCTGTCAGACAAGGAGGACGACAGCTATACTGTCAATTTCTGGAGAGCATCAATGTTGGAGATTGTGGCTATAATGGACCACCGAATTGATGGTCAAAAGGACGACACTATTTTAGAACTCTAAAATTAGGGCCTCTGTAGTTTGACGAGAAGGGATGATTTTCTTAGGCAGCCTATTTTCGGCACATGAATTGATGTTCTTAGAGATTCACTGAGATAGATGTTGTTTGCATCCTATATGGCCTCAGAAGTTTGCAAGAGAAAGTACAGACTTGATGTTGATTTTTGGAGTTTCTTCATGCTTTATATTATAGAATTGTTGGCATCCATGATATTTGCACTTCACAAAGATGAGGTCACATGTGAGGAACTAAGGAAGGGTGGTCAATAAGAAGTGGGCTGCAAACTGACAAAGTTGGGAACAGATGTGCTGATGCAGATGAGAATGGCTACAGCTTCTTGAAAGCGTGGTTCGGATTATTTTATCACAGACCAAACTTGAATAAATATTTTCCGAGGCATCATTCTCACACTCCTACATAGTTTGGCAGTTTTCCTATGATAATTCCCAATCGTCTCAACCCTAAGAAGACTATAAAGATAATAATGTAAACATTTCTATTATGTTTCAAGATGTTTCAATATTTTATATATTTTGGAAAGTCATTTATGCATAAATATTTGCTACGCCAAGAACCCTCCAAAACTAGAATCAAAGGGTGGTTTCTACATTTTTCCAGGGTGGTTGAAGTAGAAATTTATGGTCTTCAAATACAATATTGCATTCCTTGTTAAAGGTATGTCACATTCCTAAATCAAGTTGGCAAATCCTGCAACTGGTTGCTTCCAAAATTGGCAGCTCATAAATTTCTGTAACACGCAATTGATGGGATCAATAAGAGGTAAAGTTTCGTTAATATTTCCATAGCCTGATACAAATGCAAGGAAAATATTTCCATAGCCTGATACAAATGCAAGGAAAACAGTTCTAACTATATTGTCAAATATAAACATTTTCCATCATAATGCCTGAAGGCGCTGTTACCATATTGGGATTTCAGAATAGATCTTACCACCCATGAGCTCATCCTCATCAATGTCATCAGGTACATTGTAGCTTCTGCCAAGAGATTCTTGGATTTCATTGCTCACATCCATGAGGTCCATCATCTCATCTTGCAAGTTCTGAAAAAAAGAAAAAAAGAATTCTACTAATAAATATATGAACATATTGAACCAGAGATATCCAGTACTATAGAAGTGAACAGTAAGAGGAATGAGATCAAACATCTATATCTTGAATTTTCACAGTTTTCATCATTCCTTTAAGCTCTTTGTTTGCCGACTTCAGTGCTGACATCTGCAAAGGGACATGGTACTATTAGTGATATGCTAAGTAGAACCATATAAATCTCAGTTGATGTGCTTACTAATCAGATTATCACCTCTAAAAGGGAACATAAACCATATGTAATAAATGCAACTAACACCATACTCATGCATCAAACCATGGATGCATAAATTTCAGAAGAATTCACTAATTATATGTAAAGTGCTATACTCCATTTCTGATCAAGCAGATTAAAATAATTAATCAATGTTTCTAGAATGAACAACTAACAAAATTTAAAGAAATTAAGAAGAAATGATCTAGAATAAAGTCATGTTGGAGTAGAAAACAAAACAGCTCACGATGCTTACTGTTTGTTGAGCATCTTTGATTCCCTCAGCAGCAAATGCAACTTGATCCAGGTTGAATGTCTGGTTGTATAGCATATCACGCTGACCTTCATACCTGTCCAACTCAAGAAAAGATGAGTATGCCAAACATAGATGAACAAAGATCAGTTTTAACTGTGAACTTTACGAGCATCAGTGATGGGTAAGGTATCATTTGACTTCTAAGTTTTAACCATATGCACAAAGTCCACGAATCAAATTTAATGACAGCAGAAAAGTAACTTGTACATGGAAATATATAGGCAACTCGAGCACTTTCAGACTAGGATCATAAAGATTTTTCATAACTACATTCTGATATTTTTTTTTTCTTTAAAAAGGACACATAATTCACGAGCGGAACATTTTCACCTTATAAACAGGTACAATTTGCATGTAGCAGCAAGAAATCCACATGCACCATGTTCAACAACACACTTCAAAACTAACATAAGCTAAAATAGTTTACTTCTCAGATTTCAAAATGTGAATATACTTGACAATCAACAATGATAATAGACTTATAAAACATATACACGTTATTTTGGGCACAAATACAGAAAACAAGTATTTACGAACAGATATTTCTACCGATCGATGAACAATTGATGTCTTAGTTTAAAGGCATATCCACAGAGATAAATATCACTTTGCGGTACTTTCTGATGTATATTATACACACTTGTATATCCATATTCTTTTTTCTGGTAGTCACTTAATAGAATCCCAATATAACCAGCAACTAGCTTGTTGCAAACCATTCTATTTTAGTTCTAGAATAAATTAGCACGCTTCAGGCCCGAAGGGTTAAGATGCCCATTAGATTTTTTTTGCTAGGGTTAGTAATCTATTTGAGTGAATTATGGGTGTTAACTATAATATAGGCCCAACCCATACCACTTAAGGCCCTACGTCTATATGTATATATCTTCATATATGAATTACTTATTCGTCCAAAACTCTAAGATTCACAACATGGTATCACAGTCGTACAAATAAATATTTTATTCCGATCTCACCTCCTACACTACTCAACTCGTCGGCTAGGGACAGACTTTTGGGCCAAGTTTCACCGCCAGAGGCCGTGCGTATAAGCTACACCGTCGCCAAAATCTTCTGTTGGCCATCGCACTCGCCGGCGCGTGAGAGCGCGTGGCCTGCGTGTAAGCTACACTATCTTGGATGTAGTACTCCCCTGTCCGAAGCGTCATAGGAATTCAATGAAGACTTGGTGCGGTTTCGGGACATCCTTGGCAAGTACGAGGCAACGAAGACGCCACCACAATAAGTGGGGGAAAATAGAGCAAGAATCTTGTAGGAGGCCCTAAAACATTTATACATTTATAGATAGGGCAATATAAGGATCTAGACCTATGCATAAGAGGAAGGGACCACTGTCAATAGGAGGGTCCCCCACATTTTGCAACCATCAATTGTATAGTACGTTTGAGTGAATAGTAATACAAGCTTTATGTACTACAGCAAACCAAGCATCTTATTTAATTTCTTTAGCAAAGAACTTACACACACAAAGGACAATTCTTTGACCCAGTCAATTATCATCGTTTATTTATCATACATCATCGTTCATTTATCATACTAGGGTATTTGCCGGGGTGGGCCACTAACAAATCTTTTCAAAAGTGTAGAAAATATATACTAACGAGTTACGCGAACTTTCGAGCATGCATCTCGCTAACAAAATTGTGGGTAATTATAGTATCAAACAACACCATAATTTTTTTATCCTTTACACCCACCCACCTTCGCGTACATCAAACCACTTCGCGTACATCAAGCCATTTGACCCAATTGGAATTAATACCAAAATCAAGTTTCGGCCCAACCTTGTCCTTTGGTGAGTCCTTATTTTAACTCAGACCTGGACCATCAACCACCGAGAAGTCTACTAGGTTTTCGACAACCGTAATAGCAGAAGCCTTCTCCAAGGGCCCAGCCTTGCAAGCTAGCCATGAAGTTGAACCAAATTGTCTTTATGTGAGCTATCCAACATGATTGAACTAAATTCCATGACTTAGTTCTGGAAGGCACTTGTATGCCACAAGTTACGGGGCATATTTCTTGTAAGCCAATCAGTGTTGCAAGACAAGTATTGATCTTGCAATTCCCTGTTTAGGGAGTCCCACGTTTTGACCGTTTGGAATTGTCCAAGACCTGGAAAAAGGTGGACAACCGATTTTGAGGACCGGGGAAAAGGTTGACTACTGATTTTAAGCTATGTTAGACCCCAAGCCCTACCTCTCAGGCTCTAAATTGCCTAACTCTAATTTGCAAAACAATCCCATGACACCAACCAACTCATTTACTACAAATGATGGCCACTATTTCTACGTCTCATCTCTAAAAAGGGTTTGGTTTTTGTGTGAAGAACCGTATAGCCCAATGCATGATGACCTAACAAATCCACTTAAATGCTAATTGCTACAAAACATACGTTGAGGCTATTGGTTAAGTGTTAACGAGGGTCAATTTTGATGTTGAGTAGATCTTGAACAAGTACTTCTATGAGCCTTGGGCAGGGAAGCATTGTTGACCATTCTATTTTATTGTCTAGAATAAATTAGCATGTAGGATTAAGAAGCCTGTTAGCGTTATTTCACTAGGGTTGGTATTTTATTCAAGTGGGTCCTTAGTCTTTTACATAGGGCGCAAGAGATTACCATTATTTGTCAGCTTTTAGCTTGAAGATTATTTGTCATATTATTTATTTTATTTACATACATAATAATATTTAGCTCTTCACATTGACCTTTCACATAGGGTTGGTGTTTTATTCAAGTGGGTCCTTAGTCTTTTACATAGGGCGCAAGAGATTACCATTATTTGTCAGCTTTTAGCTTGAAGATTATTTCTCATATTATTTACTGATGTAAACCCTAGGCATCATTTGCCGACACAAAGAAGTAAATATAATGGTGAGTTATTAATTTTCTCAAATAATTGTGCTCTGCAACTAATATCTAATCCAACCTAGGATTAGTGAAAAAAGATGACAGAAGTATATAGAGTGGTGAGTTCATTAATTTTCTCAAGTAAGTGCATTCTAAAACTAACGTGTAATCACCCCTAGAATAAGTGAAAAAAGCAGCTAACGAATCCACTTACATTTACGGGTATATTTCTTATTTTACCGAAATCTAACTACAAGCACGAAGGCTTAAGTTTCCATACATCGCGTTTCACGTGCAAGCTGAAAATGCATGAAATAGTGACATATATTTTCAGTTCCAAATGATAACCTCAACATGAATCTCCTTTTCAGATGAAGATTTAACACGAATCAATAATAGTACTTCCTCAATAAATTTCTGCACTTATGATGCAAGCTTTTAAACAGTAAACAGCAGTTCGCACCACAAAATCATAGTCCTGAACTACAAGAAGCATGTAAGTGTGGTGACCTCAAACAGTCTTAAGGCTGCTGACAAATAATTTTTAGCATAGTATCCATGACATTATGACCAACTTCAACACTCTTCGGAGAGAAAAATTATCAGATGTAGTAAACTTCACTGCTATAAGAGTTTACTGACTCGGGGTCGGGTATAGAACGAAATAGACCAGGCAGTCATTAACACGGAGCTAATTGCTGTAAGTTACCAAAATGTGTAAACAGAATGCACTATGTCTATGAGATGATGAAGACAATGTAGCTCACATTCGTTTTTGCTTAAGAACCTTCATGGCCCTAGCTTTGACTGCTTCTTGAGCTGGACCTGGCCGGGTTTTCTTGATCTGCTCTTTATATCTCGTTAATTCTGCATCAAGTTTCTTTATCTTCTCATCAACATTATCACCTCTTTTGTTGATCTGATACAAAAAAATTATTCTCAGAGTTGGTTAACAAATAAAGAAAATTTGAACATAGACAATCAAAACAAAGAATGTTTCTAGCAACTAGAAACACATACAACCTACCACACAGCCATTTTCCCAAGCATATCAGAAGAGAAAAATCATGAAAAAAATAAGTTTAATAATTAGATGATCGGACGAATCAGTTCCTCAAAAAAAAAATAATAATAATAATAAGGAAGGAACAAGAAAGATCACAAGTTGCAATAATACACACACACACACACACACAAAAAAAAAAAAAAA